CCCTACTTCAGGGCCTTCTCTTAGCTAGTTGCTGACAATGAACAGATACTGTCCGGGTACATAGTTGGCTGCTGCCTTCATTGAGTCATTTGCATATTATTTCTATTGTGCCCTGAAACATTTCCTAAATCAGCTGCTGTATCTGACCTACATGCATAGAAGAGATGACAGGCCAAATGCTTCTGAAGCTCCAAGTATTGTGAATGAACCATGCTAATTCTCTAGGATCTCTTGGGTAGGACTGATAATTAATTACTCTATCCTCACATGTCAGGGTCCACAGCCAAGTAAGTAAAATTATAGTTGAAAATTCCAACAATATTATTTGCTTGCTAGTGTAACTTTGTTGAAAATATTTGATGATATGCCTGCTAATTTGGGTATGCCTGTTGAAACATGGGCTATGGTCCTTTAATCGTACAGATTTCTAGTCCCTCTGGTTTTGTTCTGTTCATTGTGAATCACTTCTTTTATTTCCCTCAGCAATAGACTTGTTTTATGGACTGCATTCTGTAAGGTTTTTCAACGTCCTGCATCTGTAGTGGGATTTTCTCTAGTGCTCAGGTTGACTTAGGCTAGGGACAAACATTACACATACATTGGTTTAAGTGATCAGTAACTGGTTTAAACTTGTAACAGAATAGAAGCTCAGTGCACATAAACCAGTTTCAAAATGGCTGAATGTAATATCAGACTTAACTGGTTTGGTCAAACTGGTTTATGCAATGTCTGTCCCAGACCGCTTCCTGGTTTAAGTCAAACCAGAATCCCCCAGCATCCCAGATGCTGTGCTGCCTGCTCCAGAGAACAGGGCTGGCCCTGCCCTGCTCCGTGGCCAGAGCTCCGGTGGAGGCTGCAGGCACAGCAGGGGCTGCCTGACTTCCCCTGCCCCCCACTCCCCTCGCTCAATCAGGGATCCCCACCCTCCCTTCCTCCCATCTTCCACAGCATGGACCCCAGCCCCATCGACTCTAGGCATGTGGTATGCTAGCTAGTGCTGAAAGGTGTCTGTCTGTGTGTCTCCAATTTCACAGAGACAGGCAGATGGAACAGTGTCTGCTTAGGGATTTTTGGAGCTAATCAGGTCAACTGGTTATGTCCCTCTGTTCCTTCCTTATTCATAGAGTCATAGATGTTTGGGTTGGAAAGGACCTTATCAGATCATTGAGTTCGACCTCCCTGCCCTGGGCAGAAAAGAGCGCTGGGGTCAGATGACCCCAGCCAGGTGCATGTTTAGCCTCCTCTTAAAGACCCCCATGGTAGGGGAGAGCAATACCTCACTTGGAAGCCCTTTCCAGATTTTGTCAACCCTTACCTGAAGTTAAGGGTCTAAGCTAAATCTGTTCTCTGCCAGTTTGTGACCATTGTTTCTAGTTACTCCAACGGGTGCCCTGGTAAACAGAACATCTCATAATCCTTGCTGTCCCTTCTCCCCACCGCAATGAATTTGTAGGCGGCCACAAAATCAAAGAAGTAAGAGGCAACCTTGCCTTCTCTGAGGCTCGAACTCAGGACCTCCAGATTATGAGACTGATGCGCTGCCGGCTGCACAAAGAAGGCCCTGGCTTGGAAAAAAGCTGTTTAAGAAGATCTTGAATTAATGAGAGAGGCTTTTGATTTGTTGATAGGCTGATAAATGCTGTGCTATCAGCCCCCTGCTGGCTCCCTTGCCTGTCAGGTTTGTAGACAGTATGAAGAAGCAGGGACAGGGAGATTGCAAAGCTCAGTATCATCCATAGATGCATGCACTGCACCCCCCCCCCAGCCCTTTGCCTCAGTATGCTAGCTGGGGGCTTGAGTCTGGCAACGTTCCTGCCCCTTTAGCAGGAGTGGGGAAAAGCCTGGGACGGTGCAGGGAGGGTGGGGGTTTAAACACCTCCCTAATCAGTGTCCTGCCAGGGCCTGGCCACTCCCCCTTCAGCTCAGCATTGTGGAAGGGAAGGGAGGGCTGCTCTAGTGCCCCCCAGCTTCTAGCTTGAGCCACTGCAGGAATGTGCCGGCCTTTCCTCACTCCAGAGGGAATGTCTGTGCAGCTGCAAACCGGTTCAACCTAGGCAGTTTAGACCAACCTACAAAGATTGAATCAATTGAGGCTCAGGCTTTTTGAATGTCTGTCCCTGCCTTACCAAATGCATTATGATGGTTTTGGATTAAAACAAAAAAAAATACCACTGCATTCTTGTGCAACCATATGTAACATTAATTTTAAATATTTAGTCTTAAATGCCTCCTTTTGGGAAAATTCTCTGTCATAAATGACCTAGCCCCTTTCAAAGGGATATCATCTTTTTCTCTTTGAGCACTAAGAGGGAATCCCTGGTGAATCACATTCTCCAAGCTTACCTTGCTGCGGGTGTCATGCTTTCAATTCTTACTATGGAGGGAGTGAGAAAGCATTCCCTAGTTGCAAACTCTGATCTTTTGATATAGTATTACCATTCAATCAGCCTGCCATCCCTGGGAAAGTGATAAGGGCAAAATGTTTATTTGCTGCATTGTACTGTTTTTTAAATGAAAACACTGGTCTTCAGCAGTCTTTTAAAGTTCTGTTCTGAGAGCATTAAAGCTGTTCCTCAGTGACATTACTGGAGTAAATATTAGTAACTTCAATGGTTTGAACGAAATAGTTTGCTTCTGGGCACTGCTGCAGGAAGACAGTCAAGTAGTTCCCAACTTTTATCTACCAAGTGGCAGAAATAGACTTTTAGAAGTCTCTAATTGAAAACATTAATCTCTAAATTATCTCGTCTGCATTCAAACTCTACAGAAGAAATCTTTGTCCCCAGTTTTTGCCTATCAGTTTTGAAAAAACTATGACCTTTTTTATATATTTTGGATTGTAGGGCCACCAAGGATTATGATGCAATGAGTTGTGTGGTTTATAGAAAGATTGCTTGTATTTCACAATGTGGTATAAATTGTGCCTGTATGCAGTTCTATCAGGACTGTCCAACTGGCAGCCTGTGAGGGGTTAAGTTGCAGCTCCTGGGTTTCTGCCTGGCCATAACTTATTCTATCATCCTTGGCTCTCCCTCCTTCCTCTGGTTTCTGCATTCTATGCCCACCCCAGGGGGCAGTGTGGCATGGCATGGAGTGGCACAGGGCACTCAGGGTGAGTCTGGAGCCATATAGCATGTGAAGCAGCTATGGGGGGCACCCACATTGGTGTTCAGTGCAGCAGCAAGGGGAGAGCATGGGAACCATCCATGTGGGATCATTCTAACAGTGTGGGGGGTGGGGAACTGTGTGGGCACATACTGCAGCGTGGGGGGTTGTCCATTCAGCCTGGGGCTCTGGATTCCCTGCTAGGGCAGCCCATGGGTGGGGTGGCCCCCCAGCCACTTAAAAATCAGGGCTGTCCAATTTCTTTCATAAATTGCATCTATAGGTAAATGTTTTAAGTTTAAACATGATGTATGTGGTATTATGTAAGCATTAATAAATGCATTCAACATATGTAATGCTTACTTTACTAATGATTACTGTGAGTTCTGTTTATGTATGGTGCTTGTGTTTAGTATATTGGTACATACTCTGTACAGGTGTGGCTTCTGCATAGACATTTTATAATTTTATTATTGTTTATTAATAGCATTTGTATTATAGTTATACCAAGCAGCAGTGCTTTTATATGAGAGCGAGAGAAAGAAGGAAAAGTCCTTTTCCCCCAAGAGTTCAATTATTATAAAAATGGAAAATAAAATCATAAGTCTAACATACCTGACATCAGCTTTCTGAACTGCTTTTATATGACACATCTTAAATTCTGAATTGTATCTGTGTTTTGATTTTTAGGGTGCAGTTTTCTTGGAAGGCGTGCCAGTTAAATATGTGACCCAAGTGACAACTCAACCAAAATTGGGCGAGATGCAGCACAAATGTCAGCAATTCTGTGGATGGGGAGGGTATGAACAAAAGCCATTTAATATTAGAATTTTTTGTTTGAACTATATTTAAATAAATGTTGTTTTCTTAATTTTGCTGTAGACAAATGTAAACTTAAAAACAATTCAAGAATTCACAAGTCAAGTAAGCAACTATATATTTGGATTAATTTTTATCAGAACAATTTTGAAAAATAAATGGTAAAGTTAATGATGGAATAGCACCAAATGGCTTGCAAAGAGAAAACAGCAGTATTAAGAAACAAGATTCCAGAATTACTTTTTCATTGTTGGATTATAATTTATTAGCCATTTCTACACACATTTTAGAATCTGGATCTGTTATTTTGGCCAACGTTAATGCCTTTTTAAGCAGTGAATTGATGGACGCTAGTTTGAACTAGAGAACATATTATATGCTTACTTTTACATCTGTCAATTCACTTCAGTCCTGATTTCTATACCTTTTTTTTGTTTTTTGGGGGGTTTTTTTGCTTCTTAGATCTTCTAGGAAGCCTTTGCCAGTTTTGAATTGTGCATAATATTGGTATAAATGCTACATCTAGCTGCATTTCTAGAATTTGAGTCTAGAATTTGAGCTCCTCTGTGCCACCTAATCTTCAGATACTAATAGCTTAGTGGGTTAAACTATCTCACCTCAAATAAATCCCTGATTAATTCAGACTACTGGTGTTTTGCCATACTTGGAGTTTTTTTAATCAAAAAGCATTTGTCTCTTGTTGCAAATATGCCTTTTTAGAGAGTATTAACTTTGTAGAAGCTGGTGCAATGCAACTCATTCAAGGTTGATCTTGCTTGTCTTGTGTGCTAGCTTATTGTAGAACCTTACTAGACATACTGCTCCTTTTAGGTCTGGATTCCCTGGAGCACAGCCTGTTTCCATGGACAAGCAAAATATTAAAGCTTTAGAGCAGAAGCCATACAAAGTAAGCTGGAAAGCAGATGGTACTCGGTAAGTTTTATATCTTTAAAAAAAATTAAAAAGCATAAATTGCCCTGACAGAGCAGATTCTTTGCATGGGTAGTCTCTGTGCTTCTTGGTATGTGAGTTCTTGCCTGTGTGCAAAGAAGAAGCATATTTTATCAATGAAATTGAAGCTAAAAAACCAAAATGTACATTGATACAGTGCATTGTAACTTTGGTTGATGTTTGCAGTTGGATTTCTCCCAATCTATGGAGCTAGATTAAATGTTCCCTTACAGGTTCTAGCTTGTGCTCTCTTGTTTTCTTTGATCTTTACAGGTTGAGTATCTAGGCTTGAATATAATAGTAACAAGGATCTTGGAATAACTGAATATAATATGTAGTTAGAGGTTTAAAGGAACTTAGGATCATAGGAAGGGAGCTCACAAAGTCATTTAGTCCAGCCCCCAGCCAGGGATTGAACCAGAAACCTTTTAGATGTTCAGGTTAAAGCTCCCAGCTGAGCTACTTTAGCATCGGCTTTAAAAGAAAAAAAAAAAAGCTGCCTTCCCAGCCACAGGAATCTGTAGCCAGCCTAGTCTTCTAGGTACTTGATCCATTTTTGGAAGGAAAAAATCCCTATACAGAGACCAGTTTTTATTTATTGTTAGGAAGTTGACATTTGTTTTTTCTTATGGTGATATTGAGTAATGTTAAAAATTTTGCAGTTCTCTACTTCTGTTGATCCTCAAGCCTGAGTAGACCCAAGAGTGCTTTTTTTGATTCATTAGTCAGTGCTGTCACTTGTACTGCAATGGTGATATTTCTTTTTGTAGAATTGCAGGTAAATCCTAATAATATGTTACCAATGTTGAACTTTTATAATGGCTAACTATTGAATCTAATTCTGTATGAAAAGGTAGAACACTGCTGTAATTAATATCTGTCAAAACAGAAGAAACTGCATAATGCAACTAATGTGAAGTTGACAGAAATCCTTCAGTTTAGCTGGTGATCAGTTTTCAGTTAAGTGCTCGCTCTTTATTCCGAAGTTATTGTAGTGGATTCATAGAGATCAGTAAATTTGGGGTGCATCTATTTTGCTTTAAAAAAAAAAAAAATTGCACTTTTAAAAACCTAAGAGCCTCATAAAATTCTTTGATAAACTTAACAGTCTATATTTAAAAGCTGTAAATGACAGAATTATGGACATGTGCATTATGGTAGTCTTCAACTGCTTAAATCAGGTACTCAGCTCTACAAGGTCTGTACCTCATTCAGTGGGCAAGATTATTACTAAAGTAGAGGTTTGCAAGAAGTGTGTAGGATGTTTTCTTGTATTCAAGGCATTGATATGAAATCCAGAAGAACTTAGTTCCTGGGTCTTACCCAAATCATAATACAGTGTGATAATCATAATGCGTGTTCACAAAGACACCATCCTAAGGTTGCATGGGTATCTCAAGATGTTTCTTAATAATACCATATTGACTCAGTTCCTTGGTGAGGTTTTTTCCCCCACTTAACATGGGGGGGGGGGGTCTCATCTTGGAGTCGAATATGAGGTGGGGGAGCAGACAGATGCTGCGGTTCCAGTTCCAACCTGGGTGCAGCTGCTTCCCCCACTTACCCTTGCTCCCGTGTCAGCAGGCTGCATCCCTGCTCTAGCCTGGGGTATGGGGCATGGCCCCATCTTGGCCTGGTAGCAGTGGCAGCAACGTTTGCTACATGCCCCAGGCTAGAGCAAGATGGAGTCTGCTGACAGTGGAGCAAGGGTAAAGTGGGGGTGGAAGAGGAGGATGGGCAGGTGGGAGGGCAGAAAGAGGATGGGGGGCCAGAATGGTGGTGGGGTAAGGTGGTGGCATGGTGGGGGCCTGAGTGCAAGGGGGCTGAGGTGGTGACAGGGCGGGGGCAGGCAACAGTGAGCAAGTGGAGGTGGGGATGGGTAGCGGGTGGCAAGCACCTGTGCCCCCCCACCTCTTGGCCTCCTGCCACTGCTTTCCCTGCCACTGCTAGTGGAAATAGCGTTGAGGACTGTGAGCTGATATAAAAAGTGACAAATATCAGTAGAAAAATAGGAGAGCTTGTTCTGGGGCAAAATTGGAAAGCTAGTAGAGCTACAGTAAAAAAAAACAATCAAGTGCTCATTGGGAAGGCAAACTGAAGATAACATTTTTAAGTTGTTCAAATCTTATAGCGGATGAGTGTGGTGTAACTGTCTAGAGTGAGTGCTTGTACGTAGATGCTTTTCTGTTGTGCCTAAAATTTAGAGGTAGTCGTGCACAGTAATTTGGTTGTGATACAGCTGCAAATAAAAAAATGCTTTTAAGGCCCTGTTGTGCATTTTTGGGGCAATGGGAAATACAGTAAAATCTTTGTTATCTGGCATTTAAATGACCCCCCCCCACACACTGTGTTACCTGAAAACCCTTGCTGGGTTATTTCAGATAACCAGAATTTTTATATAACTGGCAATCTCCTTACCCCATGGATGCTGGATAACAAAGATTTTACTGTGTATTTGGAGTCATTTAGTTCAACACTGCTCAAGGCAGGATCACCCCTACCTAAATGATCCCAGACAAATGTTTGTCTAACTAGCATTTAAAAAATTTCCAGTGATGGAGATTGCTATAACTTCTCTAGATAACCCTCAATTGGAATGTTATTCCTAGTATTCAGTCTAAATCTCCCTTGCTTCAATTTTAAAAACATTAATTTTTCATCTGTGCTTGTTGGACATAGAGAATAGTGGATTGCTATCCTCTTTGTAACATCCCTTTCTATAGTTGAAGGCTGTTACCAAGCATTTCTTCAGTCATCTTCTCTCCGGACTGGATAATTCCTGTTCTTCCAAACTTTCTTTTGTGTCATGTTTTCTAGATTGCTAATAATTTTTATCACTCTAAGCTGTACTCTTTCCAAACTGTGCTTGTTGGACATAGAGAATAGTGGATTGCTATCCTCTTTGTAACATCCCTTTCTATAGTTGAAGGCTGTTACCAAGCATTTCTTCAGTCATCTTCTCTCCGGACTGGATAATTCCTGTTCTTCCAAACTTTCTTTTGTGTCATGTTTTCTAGATTGCTAATAATTTTTATCACTCTAAGCGGTACTCTTTCCAACCCATCCATATCTTTCTTGAAGTGTGGTGCTCAGAACTGGACACAGTATTCTCCCCCAGTGAGGCCTTGCCAGTACTGAATGCAGTAGAAGAAAAGTTATCTGTGATTTGTATGCAATATTCCTATTAATACAGCCCATTTGCCTCTTGCTTCAGTACTAGGTCTCTTCTATCCCTAATAAATAAGCTTTTGTCATAACTTGTTTAGAAAGATATGCCATATTGCTTATGGCATTTTCTCTTCGTAATTTGGTTGTCTAGAGAAAATACCCATTTCTTGACATAATTCAAGATGATTAGATTACTTCTTGCCTCTCCTCTTTAAAAAAAAACACCACACTTTAATAGAGTGCGATGAACTAAAATATCGAGCAGGCAGTTTAGGCAAGTGAGGCTAAGCTGGGATATAATTTAGGGCAGGAGTTAGTAACCATTCACTAACAGTCGGCTGAATTAACACAGCTCAGTCCTGAAGTGGGTTGGAGATGGCAGTTGTTAGCTAATCCACCACTGGATGGGGCATTTTCTTGCAAAGCTTACTTAACAGTGGGTTAACTAAGCTTCTGTGACAATATAATTTTTTGGCAAGTGTGATAAGATCTTTTCTGGCCTGCAGGCTGTAGGTTACTGACACCTAGTTCAGAGGGTTCTTGTTTAGATTTTATTTTAATACTCTACCTCCATCTGCTTTTGTATTTTTTTTCCCCTCTTACTGTAAATTTTCCTGCAACTTTGTTGAGAGAGGTGACATATAAGTAATTCCAAAGTGTTTAAATGAGAGAAGTAGAGATTTTTTTCATGGGCTCTCAACTCCAATTTTGTTACCTTGAATGTAAGTGGAATCTTTTTGCGTTTTGATAATTACTTCAATATTTCAGACTTTGAGTAAAGTCTAATAGCATTTGTCAAAAATAATTAAACAGCTTGGAGAAAAGTTTTAAGGAATGTGCTGTACCAGTTGCTGATTTAATGAATGGTATTCCTACTATCAATAGTTCTAAATGTTTTAACAAGTGCATTCAGTATTGGCTAACTTCTTACCATCACCACGACTAGGCTTCACCTTCCCTATATCAGGTGGAATCTGAGCTTCCTAGAAGTTGAAAGCCCTTTATTCTCTTAGGAGCACTATATCTCAGTTGTTGTATTCTCCTGGAGGGAGATTCAAGGTGACCAGATAACTGATATCGGGACTTGAGTTCTTCTGCAGGGCTTCCTTTCATTGCTTTTAGTCTTTTAGAGAAGGAAAAGTCACACGAGGACAGTCTACATATTCTGCTTAAAGAGACCAAATCCACATATTCACAAGTAAAAGAAATAGGCACCGATATGCATCTCTATCCATTTGCCTTCCAATTTTTTGGGAAAACTAAAAAGTTCAGAATTGCTGTACAGGTGTATGCTACAGAAACCTGTATCCAGGTTAAAAAAAATTGAGATGGTTTGCTGTTCCAAATCTGATACTGTTACAAAAAGACTCCTTGTCTTCCTCAATTTCAACTGGTCTGTGCTGTCTGACAAAATTAGTTCCTTTTTAAAATTTTCAGAATTGTCAACAGTAACATTTAAGTATTATATCTTAATCTCTTACCTTTTCTTTGGTATTTCTTGTTTCAAAGTTAATTCAAGGATCCATAAGCATTCATGAAAATTTTGTTCACTCGTGCCATGAGGCATTCAGATCACAATATTCCTTTTTGTGTTGTGAAAACTACTGAGAGATAATTGATATTGATGTTTGTTGCATCATGGTCAATAATCTCTCAGTAGCAGGAAGAATTTAATTACTGTGACATATTTCATAATATATCTTCATTTCAGTAGTGTTAGCAGTCTTTATTTTACAAGATGTTTCGTCTTTTGAATACTAGAGGTTAACTTCATTCTTTAGTGTTTCAAAACAAATTGAATATACATTCCCTAC